GAAGGAAGGGCGATATTGAATAAAGATAACGCAGATGATCGGAAACAATGCAATAGGTGTGGCAAACCTTTCGTGGATGGACATTTAAAAAATTGTGCGGCAATGGGAAAACAATGTAAGAACTGTATTAAACCAAACCACTTTGCTCGGATGTGTCGTTCGCAACAAGTCAGTGAAATTACCGAGAATACAGAGAGTTCGGAGGAAGAATGTAATTTGATTCAAACATTTGATTAGTGCGAAGAATTTGAGGTTATGGCAATTGAACAAACAGACAAACAGATAGAGATGATAAATCGATATATCGAAGAGAAAGTAAAAGAGAACAGTGGCAGCAATGGAGTTAATCAACTCGAAACGAAAAAGATTGACATTCGGAAAGATTCAACCATCAAAAAGGATCAACAAACGACAAACCCTGTTGGAAAACTCATTGGCAGACATGGGATACGTCGGGAGTTTCAGTTTGTCGAAACTGTTCGACAAAACGCTGTTGGCTGAACTCATATCTGAGGATGTGTGGGTGGACCGATTACGACGCGTAGTAGAGAGGAAGGATCGGGCAGGATTTGAACTCATGGGCCCGTATACGAATCCGTTGTGGAATCAACTCTCAGTAATTGATGACTGCATTCTGGTAGACAATAGGCTAGCAGTGCCAATACAACTGCGTCCAGCAGTTATGAAGCGAATTCATAGAGGACATCCGGGGCAAGAGGCAATGATTGACGTGTCTAATTATTTGTGGTGACCCCACATGCACAAGGATATTGTGAACTTAGCGGAAGAATGTAGAGAATGTACACGCTATGGTAAGAATGCAAAATTTATTTTACCAAAAAATTCCTCGCAAGCACTGCCACTGCTATCACAGCCGGGTCAGGAGGTTCAATTAGATTACGCGGGACCTTTAGAAGATTATAAAGGGAAGAAAATTTACTTGCTAACAGCGATTGATCGATATTCGAAATTTCCTTCGGTGAAAGTAACAAAATCAAGGTGGGGAAATCCACTATAAAATTCCTACGGTCATACATAGATACGCACGGAATCCCAGAATCGATAAAAACCAATCAATTTTCCGGATTCAAAGGAAAAACAATTAAAAAATTCTGTCTTGAAAACAACATAGAACAAAAGTTCTGTTCGGTGGGCGACCATCGCGGGTGTGGTCTAGCTGAAAGAACAATTCAAACCATAAAAAGGCGTTTGGGGGTGATGCTACTGGAAGAAAATGTAAAGTCAATTAAACTATGTAACAGTACGATAATTAGGGACATGCGATGGATTAAGCAGAAAACCATTCAGAAATCACCGTTTGAAGCACATTTTGGTGGATTACCAAAAACGGAGTTTAAAATTATACGAGATAAATTTGTAAAATTCTCTGATCATTAAGATAAGCAGCATGTGGAGAGGTCGGCATTAACTGCAAACCAACTCAAGAAGAGGATTGACCAATCTCGGGATTTGCTGAAAATCGTCAAAAAAGGGCAGAAGAGCAGAGATGTCAGCCCTCTCTTCAAACAGGCGAATAGGTCGACACAGGAGAAAAATAGAGCAAGAACTCTCCGGAATCTGTTAGAGGCCAATGCAAACTGGAATGCAGAGCTGCGTAGATATGACGAACCCAGCCCTCAACAATTAGTGGACACTACAATTAATATCGACCCAGAGTTGCGAAAGGACCTTCTATACTCATGGGAAAAGGGATTTGTTGAGGACAAACCAAAGGGGTCGGAGTGGAACAGTCACAACCTCAGCCGTAGAGACGAGACAAGAAAAAGTGGGGCGGCACTGACAAAACTGTTCAAAGGGAAAGTTATTTTTCATTCACCGAAAACAGTGACAACAGCTGCAGGAGCAGTATACCGCAAAAGCGATCTGGTAAAGATGACGAGTTCCCCTACAAAGATACCCAAGGACGGGACAAGCCAAAAGGAGAAGGCAAAGAGCCCATCAGAGGAGCCAAAGAGTAAGCACCAGAAGAAAGATGAAGAGCTACTTGAGGACACGATATCGGAAGAGGAGCAATTGATCATATCGAGGGAACAGTTAAAGGACCTGTTTCAAGACAGCGAGACTGTTGTCACATCGCGGGACACACCTGTTGGTGGGGGACTCAATTTAGCAATAAAGCGAGCAAAGCCAAATCTCGGGGGTCCAAAGACAGCGGGACCGAAAACACAAGAGCAGGTGGCGTTAAACCCGATAGGGGATTCGCAGGATAAAAGGGAACGAACACTTAAATCCAAAGAAAAATCGGACAAAAAGAAAGCTGATATACCAGCAGAAGAAGTCACTGAACCAGGACAAACAGAAACGGTGGATCAAACTGATCAACCGAGCAGTTCGAACCCCAAAGCTAGACAGTCAAAGAAACGCATAACAAGGGACACCTCGCCTAGTTCAATCTTGAATGCGTTCCAAAAACAGGACATGGGAAACGAGGAATGGCAAAGCCTCGCCGATCAAGTGTTGACTAGAGGTCTGCAGAGAACGGCGGACGAAATTATTAAATCAAGAACGGAAAATCAGACAGGAACGACAGGCGAACACGGATCTCCATCAGGAATTTCGGACGACTCAGTCGTAGACGAACAAGGGGGTACGAGCGTGAGGAGCAGTAAGCGAACCACGAAAAACCAGGGGCCCAAAAGACTGGGTAGCCCAGTCAAACATTCGGTTAAGTACATTAGTGCGGACGGAGAAGCAGACATAAACGAAATGGCTCTAGAGCAGTATAGATACGGACTGGCGAATGTTAAGACGGACAAGAATAATCCGATGGAAACCCGATTGAAGCTTCTAGAACGCGACTTGTTTCGGAAAAAGTTTGGTATTGCCGAACTGGATACGACACAGCCGTGGAGCACGCAATGGAAAGTGCCCCTAGAGGTTAAGAAACACTCAAAATAGAAAGAAGAAAAAGGGAAAAACTTATAGTAAAAACTAAACACCTTCATCATCAATGGGATCACAAAAAAAGCCGAAAAACTCGTAGTATTGTGATTCATTTATAAAATTTCATATGTATTAGATAAAATTTTATTGGTCCCTGGGGGAATGTGGTACTGCAGCATCAGCAGTAAGTAACCTTGAGGACAGTTTGTTAGCTACTGCATCTGCAGTAACCATATGTGCTAATTATATTTATTATGGTATTATTATGTAAGAGTGGTGATGCTAAAACTCTATAGATGAATTGGTCAGTGTTTTATATATCAAGCTATTGAACAGTAACCAATCTCAGCTACTAACCCTTGTTAACAAGACAAGATCAAGAACATTAAATTAACAGTATTTCTTCTTACTTTTATTCCACAACACGCTACGCAGTTTAGGAATATCACAGTTGCCTTAAAAGACTCCCTTCACAGCCTACTAACAAAATATCTTTTTTGTAATACTGTGAGAATTTTTTAAATTTTTTTTTGTGATTCCTGGGAATGTTTTAGAATTTCAATCTGCAGTGGCTATGTTGAGAATTAAATGCAATTGTTTTTGAAGAACAAGTTAGTTCAAATGCTCAAACATCTTTTATTTTCACTCAATGCTTTGGTGCAAAACGAACCTTACTTCTGCTCTTTTAAAAATTATATGATTGTCTCTTTTAGTTTTGGAGATTTTGCTAAGTCATAGCTGGAACCAGGGGCGGATGTAGGATTGACGGAGTGGATTTTCACAAATCTTTAGATTTGATAATTTTTTTTTCAAAAAGTTTTAGTGATGGCTTGTTTTAGATCACCCAAATTGATTTTTAAAACACATTGAAAAACCATTTATGACACAATTTTTTTGCGCAATGTTATTAAAAAATTAAGCCAAAAAGGTCGGTTTTCTTCTTTTAAAAAAAAGTTTTAACGAAACGACTAATCCACCTAAGAATTACTATAAATTGGCTCTAAATTGGCTGTTTTTCTCCTCAGGGATTCAAACCCCACGCCAACCAAAGGGTCAAAGGGTCCCCCTTTGCCTTTAATGTTTGCATCCATTTTGGCCGACCAACTCTAAAGTTTTTCTAAAGGAGCCTTTGGTGCCATTACAATAATTTTGAAGGGGAGCGCGTGCCAGAAAAAAAACGCAATTTTTTGGTTTAAATTTTTCAATTTTACAATTTTCCACAAAATTCCCAAGAAGGGCTCTTTTGACTTGTTTTTCCTAAAAATTCCCTTAGGTACAAATATTTTGGTCTAAATGGGGTCTTTATAGTATTGCGGGAGTGCTCGGAAAAACAGTTTGGTCGACCTAAAATTATCGACAAAATTTTGAAAATCCGCCCACCCCCTCTCGAGAAAATTCAAGATCCGCCCCTGAGCATGACGCTTCAGGTGTCGAATGAGCTTTATCGAACGAACCAATACAAAAAATGTTTTTTAATGCCGCCAAGTAGCTTAAAAAAATTTGCATAGTACAGCATAGTACAGTAGAGTGGTTTGCATAGTACAGTAGTACTATCAGCATGCGTCTTAGTCATGAACCGATGATTCAAGACTGAGATGCCTGAAAATTCAGCGATGATTCAGCGATGGAAATAAGGTTGCTCCGCGATATTACACTGCTCTCTGCTCTCGTAACTATCAATTGTAACCTGAAAATAAATCGGCAAACTCCGACAGACCTTCCGTTGGAAAACGATCAATTTATCAATTTAGTTATGGTTCTTCGAAAAGAGAATTTGCTTAGAGCAATGCCGATTTAACATCATATAAAAAAGGCAAAGACTGTTTGTTGCTGTGCAAGAAGCCAAAATGTTCCGATCACAACGATTGAAGTAGAAAATTTACAAAAAATTGGGAAATTTTTTTTTTAATCTAATTTTTTTTTTTTCATTTTTTGATGAAGGTTCAGCCATTTTTTGTACAGGACGATTGAGTTACTCAAAAATCTATCCAATGGGAGGCTAGATTTAAAGGCAATTTTTGTATTCTAAAGAACTCTTTGGGTGTTTTTCCCAAATTTGTTGTTTTTTCTTTGCTCAAAATTTCTTTTTGTTTCAGGCTAGATCAGTACTCAAGGGTTTGCACGTAGATTGTGGTAGACTTCGGAGCCAAATTACCACCAATCGCATTTCAAAGTGCTAACAAACTGATACTTGATACGATTCATGCAACATTATAAGAATATTCTTGCCTGCAGATGTCTCGGTTGAGTAACACAAACAGCCAGTCCTTTGGGAGCAGTTCAGCTATTTCAATGCATCTTTTTCTTCTTCTTTTGATTATTCTGAGTGGTGACTTTGTTGCGCTTACAACCCAGACAAGCGGATCAACAGGTGTGAACAAAAACGGGAACAGTAAGGGGGGAGTGGGCGTCGAGGGGGCCATGGACAGTAGTGACTACATGTTTGAACATATGACAGTGCTGGAGGAAATACACATGCTCGAAAAGTTAGTCTCTTTTAAAGTGAAACACTATAAAAAAAACATATGGCCAATTTTCTTCCGTATAATTATGAAAATCAGTTACTTACCACAAACAAACATCAAATGAGTTCGTTAGCTATGCCATATTGAAGCTCTTTCAGTTGTGATTCGATTGATATTTGAAAAACTAGTAAAAACTTTTCCTAGAGTCGATGACAACCAGTTCAAAACTTCCACTTTTTAGTCCAATTTAGAGCAAGCTCTGCGTACGAGTAGATTTAAAAAAGCTGGAAAACTTCTCACCGAGTACGCATAGGTCGGAACTTGGCACAGAATGGTAAACAAAATAAGACATCTAACATTTACTTTTTAAATAATTTTCAAAAATTAGGGCTCAACTCTGAAAATAGCAAGACGATGAAAAAATAAAACTGCATAAATTTAATCTGATTGCATTTGATTTATGATTATTTTGGGCCGTATAAAAGAAAAGAGTCGAAATGTCGACCACATGCATCATGGACTACAAAGTCAGTTCGATAAACGTGGATTCCTGTAAATATCTTCCTGCCACGAAAAAATGGACTTTTAGCCGATAATTCTCAAAATCTTTTTTCGACGGAATATCAAAGCGTCGGCTTGGCACACTATAAAAAAACCCTTGCGATCGACGCCTGCAATCCTGCTAGATATTTTTAGAAAATCCAAGAAATCAAACTTTCAAAAAAAAATTCGCAATGAATTCGCAAAAAAAAATCCATTATATCGATAACATTTTTTCGTGACCTTATAATAAACTAAAATCAATTATAATTGATTATAATTTTTCCGAAAATCACTCATAATCTCTTATAAAATCTTACAATCTCTTATAATCTCTTATAATCTATTATAATAGTTTATAATCTTTTTTTCTGTCAAAAATCTCTAAAAATGAGATGTCTTGTTTTTCTTTGGTTCATCTGAACTTAAAGTTTTACCACGAAACAAAAGTTTCATGGAGATTCTTTCATATAAGTTGGCAGAATCCCGCGGTAGATGAAATATAATTCTTCTATATGAATCATGAAAGTACAGCTGTGTGCTGATATTTTGGTGGTGAAAAGAACATAAAATATGCATCATGAAACAACTATAATCAAGAAGAAATGAAAAGAAAAAAACGTTATACTTTTGATTTGATTTGAAAACAGCTAAAACAATTTTTTCATTTTTGAAATAAACCAGCTTCTACGAAAAGCATAAAATATAAGCAATTCAAGCGCAAGGTCGAAGACAAAATGGGCAAACAGGAGGGATTATAAACAATTATAATCGATTATAATGGATTCTGCAAAACAAAAGAATTAGAAAGTTGGATAATCGATATATAATGTATTATATTTGATTAAATTTGGTTTTAAAAAGAGAGATTATAATTGATTAAAATCAATTTTGCTCAGTTTTTGGAAGACTGGTACTAAAATCGTTTTACAATCGATTATTAACGCTTGATACTGGATGCGGGTAGTTTACTTGTTTGGTTCCGTGATAAAACTAGTTTAGATGATTGGTCCCGCATTTTTACTAAAAACAAAAGCAAGCGCGAAATTGAACCTAAGTCTTGGAGGCGGTAACCAAATTCGTGCCCGATAAGTTATTTATGCCAGCTGTGTTATCAAGATTGAGAAAATAAGATGCTTACTTTGTGAGTCAGCCCAAATACTGTACCCCTGTATTTATTAGGGACCACAGTATTTCTGAGGGACCAAACAAGTAAACCAGAACTAAACCTCTTAACTACCAGCCTTGGTCTCTTAGACCGACTCAAGAAGTCCAGGGCAATCCCTGCAAGACTTAAACATGGTTTTCTTCTCTGAAATTATCGCTTAAGGAATGAACGTCAATTTTCAGAATTGCTACGGTTATTGATAGCATATTTCAGTATTTTCGGTAAAAAGGGATTCGTGCGCAAAATTTGAGATAAAAAATTAAAAAGACTTTATCAGATTTGAGAATTTTCGTAGCTTTTGCTAATAATATCTCGTCAAGTTCAAGTTTAAGTTTTAAGTTAGTTTTAAATTATCTCATTTGAGAATGATTTGACAGATGTTCATAACTTTCAGAATTTTCGTAAATGGTAAAAACATTCCTTCAACTTTTCTGGCGTTTGATTTTGTCCCCTAACTCAATTAAAGCTCTAAACAATAAAGAAAAATCAGAAAATTGATTTTGAGATATTGAGATATTGAGATTTAGTTGATTCAAATTTTTCTAACCATATTTGATAACGACTCAAAAGTTTCCAATTTGATATCCAATTTGACTTTTTCAAAAGATGATATCATTCATATGAAAAAATAATTGATTTCATGGTCTAAACTTGGAAAAAAAACTTAATTACTATGACAAAATTTCGACAATTTTTTTCATACATATACCAACTTATCCAAGATTTTCCGGCACATGTTCGATTAACTAAAACAATCGCCGCCATAAAAGTTTATATCGACTCCTTCGCCGCTAACTCTTGGCCGTTTTGTAGCGTAGGTCTAATTTTTAGGCTCATTAGACGTTTTTCTTAACAACAAAGAAGGAAGAAAAACTATTATTTTTGTGAAACAAGAAACTGATTATTTAATTATAATCTAATTAATTATGCTAAGCAAAAAAGTCAATTTTAGATTAAATTTCTAGACAAATTGGAATATAGGCACATTGGTCCATATCGAAAATGAACTGTATTAGTAGGTCAATTTATTGTTTTCATTTTTAGACGATGATTTTAACTTTTTCTAGAATTTTTTATTATGTTCGAGGCTCTGAGTTCAGAGTGATTTGGAGAATTTTCATAAGTTCCGTTATTTCCGCCATTGGTAAGCAACAGTCCTTCATCCTACTGGTCTTTCAACCTGTTTCATTTTACCGCCAAACGCAATTAAAGCTCCAACTAATCAAAAAAGAACGGAAAATTGTTTTTATGGAGATTTTCCAGATGTTGAGGTTTATTTGATCAAAAATTGTCTAACCATGTTGAATTACGACTAAGATATTTCTAATATGATGTAACGGTGTCAGGACTATTTACCCCAGTACAACTGGCCCTATGCCAACTTGCCCTATACTAAATTGTCCTGCATAAAACTTGTCCTATGCCAACTTGCCCCATTTGGCAACTTGTCCTACACCGTTTTGTCCCACAACTAACACTTCTAGTTAATCAATTGATGCTCAAACCGAGTAATGTTTGGGACACGCAAGTGCTTGTGGTAAATTGAACTCATTTTGAAATGAGAAGAGATACTGACTCGAAATTGCTTACATTGAGCCTCAAATATCATCTAAGACATAATTTTGTCAATTAAACGCAAATTTTTGACAATCCGCAAATGACGCTATTGAAACAGAAAAAAAAATAGTATTAATTTTGTTTTGCGTCATAGTTTGAATCTTTCTGTGCAAACATACAACTTAACTATTTTGAACACAATAACGTGGAAAATATCACTACGGAACAAAAAAGACCGCTGATTATTGACTGACACGAAAAAGCAAACAACAAAAACAACCGAACACTGGAGATGCGCGAGATACAGTTCTCACAAGTGCCGGTTCCTCGCTGTACTAGTTGGCAATGAAAAATCTTTTTACAGTGTTATTGAGGAAATCGAGCATTTGGTTGACCGTTTAGATCTCGAACAAAGAAGTTACACTAAAGGGAAAACAATAGGACGAAACAATCGGCAGCCCTTGTTTCCTCTGAGTCTCTGGAATCATTTAAAGGAAGCAGCGAAATGTTTGATCAGAACGACGAACGCCGTTGACGGCTGGCATCTCGGAGTGATGGCGTTATTTTAAGGGAGATACCCAGACTCTACATTTTTATAAAGGAGATTCAATTGGTTGGACTCCAGAAATCAAAAACTCAAGATTTAGAAGGCTATGGTGGGACGCAGAACCAGCGTCGGAAGAAATATCGCGATATTCATGATAAAATCCAAAATAGTCATAGGAACTTTTATTTAAGACCATGTTGTTGATTAATTATATGCACTTGCTCAATCTACTTTTTTGTAAAATTTAAAGTGTCAGCGAAATTTTATAGAAATTGTCGGCATTTTGTTGCATTCTTAATTGATTTTTAAAAGACATCACTTCTTTAACTTATGGCCACCGTAGAGAGCCCAAATTGTTGGAGGGGATAGAAGTTTATTCTGCAACAATTTACTTTTCCCCCACCCGGCCCCCATACCGAGGTACCCAGTAGGGTTTTAGGGTGGACTGTACGTGCATTTTTTCGGCTTCATTTTTTCAAGTTTAAACTTTTGACTTAAAAACTTCTCGAGTTTTGAACTCTTGACTCTTTGAAGAATAATGTGCTTAACATCTGTATCAAGTGAGCCTACAAAATTGGCAATCAATCTTTTGATATGGTTATATTGACATGAAAATTGCGTTGAAGTTTTGCAGCTCTCCGTTTGTTCATGCATGCTTTGAACTCATTTAGATTCTGCACAGTTTAATTGTTCAGCAAAAATACCTTTCTTGTTACTGCCGAAATTTCGTTCTACGATGTTATCAAAGAACGTGGGACAAGATGAAATAGGACAAGTTGTCTTGTGGGGCAAGTTGGTGTAGGACAAGAAAAGCTGGGACAAGTTGACTTGGGGCAAAATGACATGTAACCAATATAACATTCGACTTTGTAGGACACTAAAACAATCAGACTGCCCGTATCAGGGCGAAGCACTAAAGGTTTTGGTTACCTTTTAAAGTCTATGGAGCAGTGAAAGCATCAAAAAAATGAACTAAAAAATATTTAAAAAAAAAATTGAGAAATTTTGTGAAAACCATCACCCCACACGCCATGTAAGGTACAAAAAGATGGATTTTGCTCCTAGTAATAAATCAATTATGACAATTAAGCTTCATTCAACCAATTTGGAACAATTGCTAAGACGGATTAAATCTCCGCTTACGCGTTAATAGCGCGAACTATATCGCGCGTTAATTGTCCCAAATTGGTCAAAATGACCAAAATGGCA